TCATGCAATCACCGTCTATACCGTTAGGGCAAATTATTCAGTTTTTCGTTATACATAGACTGTCATATAGGCGGTTGCGAACTAGCTGGCGTCTTAAATCACTCGTTGGCATTTCAATTATCGTTACCGATTTCTCTAGCCGGCCTTTCTTAAACAAGGTTTTATAGATGCGCTTACTTCATTTGAAATGAAGGGCAGGATAAGTGGGACCTTATTGTCGCTAGAGTTATCGTTGAGCGCCTGTAGTTTCCTCTACACCTATCTCGAGCTGCAGTTTCGTAGCCATTAAAAATGGCTATTTGCCGCGCCTAGTTCCGGGACTAATCTCTCTGCTTCCTTCCTGTGCACACGCTGGTAGCTGTTCGAAACATGTTTCTTACAAGCGCCCTTTTCGTGTAGGAGGGACGAGAGGAGAGGTAATGAACAAAGATATTTTTACTACTTGTCTTTCGATACCATTTCGTAATGTAGCCGTTTTCTGATAGGTTAGTTTGCACGTTCAGAAATGGAAGCCAGTTTTTTTTTTGGTTTCTCTCGGGTGAATTTAATATACTCTGTTCTTAATATTTAATATAGACTGTTCGTTCAACAACTCGAAACATTTGCCAATTTCCTCCCGTGTTGAACAAATGACCAAGCAGTCATCGATATATCTACAGTAGAGTAACGGTCCGAGGTCGATTACTGGTGCTTCCACCTTAGCCATGAATACAATGGTAAGGTTTGGTGCCAGTCGTTGTCCCATTGCCAGTTCTCTCATTTGTGCGTGCTAACTCCCGGACCATCTGAAGATTGAGCAATTAAGGCACTCCTTTAAGAGTGTCATCAACTGCTGAATCGAGAAGCCATACATGTTCATTGCTTCCCTTGCCATTTTGACGTATTCGTTGTTCACCGTCTATGTATAACGTCTATATGACTGTCTGTGTATAACGAAAAACTGCGTAATTAGCCCTAACGGTAGAGACGGTGATTACATGAGTTCGGGCACTGTTTATCTGATCTCTTGTAAAGCGTGCGGGCACGAATATGTTGGCGAAACGGGTAGACCGCTCTGCGTCCGCATGAGAGAACACCTAGTCGGTAAATCTAAACTAAAACATAATACTCCACTAGGCGCGCATAGGACGCAGGAATACAACGGAGAAGATTTTGAGGTAGGAGTCACTATCCTCACGCACGAATTGAAAACGACAGCGCGCAAAACTCTTGGAGCGTTTTGGATCAATTCCAAAAATTCAAAAATGAACCACAAGGAGTGCCTTGTCATCACGCGTGACCTGGCTCCATACCTCAGGCTAATGCAATGACCTGACGCAGGCGCAGTCCTCGCCCATGTATTACTGTGTGGCTGCTGTCCACCAACTAACTTAAGTACTTACGACAAATAAACGGTACGTGTTTAAATTAAGCTGTTTTTATGCGAATGCAAATCTATTTGTTAAGTTTTATCTACTGGGGTTATGAAAGTGTTTGGCTGAGTTGATTGCATCTCAATTTGACCTTTCCAGGCCCTGAAGAAGGCGAAACCGCCGAAACGTCAGCTTTTCTATCCTAATAAATTCTATAATAACAATCCCGTGTCTGCTTATTGAAGAAAAACATCGAATCTTCAATTCATTACTATCAGTAGCAGCAGGGCGTCCACGACTTCGCGCATCTTCGAAGTTGGATTCGCAGCGGCGAAATTTTTGAAATCAACATCCTACTGTGTGTTCCTTAACAACCACAGGGATGCTGAGATATTCGCAAAACTTGAACCCCGGACCAGATCGAACCACGGTATCCCTTTCCAGGGGTTCGCGCTTTACACATTCCGCACGGAGGTCCTTGTTTTGCGTTTCTCTCTGCTAGTTTTCTATCTGCCAGTGCCATCAGCAATTACCCGTCAAAAAAGTTGTAATTGGTAGTAAATAAAAAAGTAAACATCTTTTGTCGCAATTACTGCATTGATATCTCAATTTTGAACCTGTAAAATTTGTAAAGAACACAATTTGTGTTATAATCTTATTATGGAGGGTAGAAGTCCCTAAATAACAACGTATTAGTACGTAATAGTACAGAGTGTAACGAGCACTAAAATATGCGCGAGAGGAATAGAATTCGAAGTCCTGCATTTCGAATGACTTAATATTTCATCGTATTCAAATAACCTGCCATTACGTATTGCTAGATCCAAGTACTTTCTTGATTGGTTCCGCCCATCTCAGATTCGTCATCCATGAAAATTTTTTGATTTTTCACACGAGTCCTGGCCTCGAAATGGCGACCTAGGGTTTGGCTGGTCAGGGCGGGGTTCCTCGCGTGAAAAATTTTGAAAAATGTCAGTCTTGTTCTTATTTTTGAAAGTCTGAGTTTTAAACAACGGAATATGCATTTGATTTTACACAAATTATATCTAAGAATAATCCATAGGTTTTTATTTTGTTCTATATGGCCTGTCTTTCACACATACTGTGGGGATCCCGAATTTATTTCCTTGTATCTATCATCTACGAAAGTCTTCCAACTTTTACCTGTGCCATCGATTGCTGCTTTCAGACTTTCATTTCATGGTAAATGTAGAATGGTGGTCGAGCTAATTCTCTGGAGTCCTAAAATAGCCGAGATAGAGCATTCGCACTTGGATTGCAGAGAATAATTTTTTCCCGGACAAATTCGGTACCAGTTTGCCGTCCCCGGAGGGATGATTGGTTCGATGAGCCCGGAGACCATAGAATATTAAAGCTATTTGAAAACTGAGTGGAAAACTTATTGGAAATCTACCAGCACTTTGTGTCTACCCTGATTGTATTGATACTCATTAGGTAACCAATTAATCTTTTTTGGCTTAATACTATGGTTCTGTAGACGGCAAATTTGGAATGTCTGTTCATTCACCGCCTTATCGTGGCTAGTAGATGCACTCGGTCAATAGACCTACGATGTTCACTGGGTTATTAGTAACTTCAGAAGGTCGGAGAACTGAGGAGTTGTCCGATGCCTCCATCAGGAAGCACAGGTAGTAATCATATGCCATCGCAGTACGCTGTAATCAACTCCGATGTCTACTGGGCAATAACAGTTAAAAAAACGTACTGTCAATGTTCATGCTTTTTGCGACACTTAGGCAAGTAGTTTATATTGAGCAGTTCTGGCGTGTGACGGAACGAATGGGATTTACTGATGTTAAATCTAGTTAACTGCAATTAATGGGTCATATCTGAATCAGATGCTTGATGTCTTATAGGAAGTATCGTTTCGTAATTTTTGCGTCGTTTTTCTTATTGACTACATACTTATTTCCTCCCATCTCTCTTCAAAACTAATCATCGTTCATGCTGCCATACTTCACGGTATTTTGCTAAATAACTGGTATGTAGGATCTGGTGAAGTTAGAAAATATTTCTAACTGGTGTGTATTACCATGTTTGGAAAAACTAGTTGAGCAGCGTGCGTCTCAACTTAAGGCTTTATTTCAAGGTGTCACCTCTCTTATTATACTTCACAGCAGAGATGCGCTTAGTCAAAAAAAAAAAATAATCCAACTTCTTTTGGAATTTCATCACTTAGCTGGTGCTAAATAGGCAGCAATCTTATTATACTCTGACGTTGAAAACTCCTCACGCTTCATTCTTATGGGCAGAGATTTAAGGACGCTTCCTATCAGGTTGTTCGGAAATTATTGGGCTAATGGATTTTTAATCGTTGTCTTTCTTATATATGTTTTAGCAGTAGTTTTTCTTATGATTTACTATTACCAATCCAGTTCAAAGTTCATACATTTTCGCTCTCTCTAATTGAACTGTACTTTTAACAAATTCTTTAAGTTGGAATTTGAGATGTCGAAACAAAGGTTCGACACATTTACATCTACGAATTAAAACTCGGTTGTACGCAGTGCAAACGGCTCGAAACAATGAGTTATGGGGCTAAGGAAGGATTAACGCATTAAGAGTGCTACGTTGGTTCCAAAAATTTTGTCGTTGTAAATTCGACCTTGAAGATGAGGGAGTATGCGGACCTCCTGTCCTTGACGGCGATGAATATAAGGTTTTGTGGAAGGTGGAAGTAAATACTCGCGTAACTGTTGAATAACTTGCAGAAGAATTCGATATAAGCATCTCATCTGTTTCGGAACATCAAAAGAAAATTTGAAACCAAAAAAGCTGGACAAACAAATGGATGTCGTCCAGAGTGGTTGCACAAGGCACTACCTACATTACAAAACTTCGGGCTGGTCTCCGAAACTGTCTCATTTATCGCACTTGCCTAACCTCTTGCCTACCGGCTACTACTTCTTCAAGTATGTTAAGAACTTCCTATCCGAGAAATGCTTCTGGAATCAAATCGAGGTCGAAATTACCTTTAGCGACTTTTTCGTCTCGAGAATTTTGGAGTTATATGAAACTGGAATAAAGAATGTTTCTCATAGACAGACATCTGCAATTTCTAATGGTTTTTATTTCGATTAATAATTTATTCTGAACTGAGACACAGCTTTTTAAAGAATACAGCTTGAAATCCTGCTTTACTTTCCGAACGTCATATTATTTATTCACAGTTGGTGAATTTGAGCACCTGACTTGGCCATTTGTGCTAATTATGTCCGCCTTTAAATTTCTCCTTTTTTCGCCATTAGCATTAATATATGTGTACATTGCCTATCTTTTTCGTTTTCCTTATCATTGGTATGAATGTTAGTATGATTTGAGACACTATAATTAGCCGTCAATCAACAAAGTCGGCGGATCTTCTCTGCAGTGTAGTCGCGTCTAAACTCTCTACATCTCCATTTAATATATAGAGGAGCTTTGTTTGTTGTCCACCTAATGGGGAATTATATCGAGTGACTTCGACGTTACTCCTTTTCACAATTCTGATCGTGAATTTTTGATCTGAATCCGTGTTCGTTCTTGCGATCGGAAGAATTTGAAAGTCGAGGTCTTTCTATACGTTGTTATTTCTCTTCAGATGAGACATTGTATTTACATTCGGTTTATAAAATTGGTGTGAAAATAATGCGCTTGATTGTTAATTCTCTGTGCAGTTGTTTCTTTCAAAGTTCGTTCATTGTTATTTTTTCGCCATTAATCTTTAATCTTACAGTTCTTGCTGGTGCCCTTCTCGAAGAAGCTGAACGTTTGCTGGACCGTGGAATTCATCCGACGAAAATTGCCGATGGATTTGACCTTGCTTGCAAAAAGGTGCTCTTTCACTAAAAAGATTTTGTTCCCATGGCTCTTATCTGATTAACCAACCTATTATCCAACAGAAATATGCGTACGTGCGTATTTTTACAAACGCTGATGGAAAATGTATTAGTATTTAGTGATCTTACGCCAATATTTTTCTTGTGCTAAAGTTTTGTAATTCTGACTTCATTAAAGGGTAATGGTGGCGCAAGTATCAGCAGTAATGATAAGGGTAATAATGAGGTAATATTACTGAAAGGACTTATAGTAAATAAAAAGTGACAGTGCGTAATAGTGGAAACTGTCATTGAAAGAATTGTAGCCTTTACCAAATATTGATATTAAGGCGCTGCAAACTCTGGACAAGATCGCTGACAAGTTTCCCGTCGCCAACAGGGAACGCCTCGTGGAGACCGCACAGACGTCGTTGAGAAGCAAGATGTAAGTGGAAATGCAACACCCTTATAGTTTTACAATGTTAACACAGGTGGATAGCGTCATTTTCCTCTACATACGCATATTTTAGCGTGAATCGATGCATCCGGCAGTTTGCCGAAATTGCCGTCGATGCGGTGCTATCAGTGGCCGATCTCGAGACTCATGACGTGAATTTCGAGTTAATCAAAGTGGAAGGAAAGGTTTGCATCTGAATTTGTTTACGTGTTTTAGGCTCTTGGACAATATGTCATTCTCTCATCTCTACGTATTCCGACCGTCCTTTATAGTGGGATATTCAGATTCAGTTGTTCGTATTTTGTCTTCGTGTTATTTAGCACTACTATAGAAATACTCTAACTTAGAGTTCTGTTGCCGAAAAGTGTTGTGGATCTCGATGTTAGCCTCTCAACCACGTTTGTTTCTTAAATCGATGTTGTAATAGATTGGTACTTCAGCAGTAATTTCAAAATGATGAGATAATGCTATCAGAATGAGAGTAATTGATTTTTTGAAATGGTGGCAATAACGGTATTTGGATCTGTTATTTCATACTAATTGCTAGTTGGAATTCTTTCGGCCAACTTATCTTGAGTTCTTAAAATGCGTCTTCTTTTCTTACTATGTGGTGATATCAAGAGGTAACAATTTTGTGGGTAGAAGTAACAATAGTAAGTGGCAATGTGGGTCAGCAGTCACCTATCAACAGGAATCATCTGGGGAGCACAAATCGGCATTGAACCCAGTTAAACTGAAGTCGCAGTTTTAACTTATTATTTACTGCCTACTCTTTCTTACGGCAGAGTATGTTGCGAAATATAACTTCAGTGATGCTCAGGTATTTGCAAAACTCCGGACCGCAGGTGTATGCGGTGGGGAACGAACGCGCTATTGTCTTTTCCGGGGAGTAACGCGTTCACCACCACACCATTCAGGTCCTTCGTATTGCCCGTTTCTCAGGTAGTTCTAACGATCAGTGCCGTCAGCAATCAACCGTCAACAGGATTGATCTGGCGAGCCCACATCGGCATTGATCCCAGTTTGGCTGAGCCTGTAGTTGTAATCACAATCTTAATCTTTTTATTTACTGCCTGTTGTTTTTAATGGCAGGGTATTTTGCGAAATATAACTACTATAATGCTGATATATTTACAAAACTCTGCACCGCAGGTGTCTATAATGGGGAACGAACGCGTTATTATCTTTTCCGGGGAGTAACGCGTTCACCACCACATCATGCGGGTCCTTTGTTTCGCCTGTTTCTCAGCTAGTTCTATCGATCTTTTGCCATCAGAAATCACCCGTCAGCGGGATTGATCAGGAAAGCCCAAATCGACAACGAGCTCAGTTATGCTGAGGCTGCAGTTATAATCATTTTTAATATAATGAAGTTGCAGTCTGAATAACAATCTTTCAACTTCTAGTTAACTAAAAAACGGTATATGGAATATTTCATTTCACATAACACCTTGCCGTGAAAATTTGAGTAGGCAGTAAATAAAAATTTAACATTCTGATTTTATTTATAGCCTCAGCTTAACTGGGTTCATTGTGGGTTTACACTCCCGAGGTCCATTCCGTTGATGTATGATTGCTGTTGGCACTCTGATAGATAGAAAACTAGCTGAGAGGAAGGCGAACGAGGCACCCTTATGGCGTAGTGGGGAATACGTGATAGAAGTGGTAATAGAGGGTTCTGTCCTTACCGCAGATACCTGCGGGAAGGAGTTCTGCAATTAGCTTATTAGTAATAATATTATTGCTGTCGGGAGACAGAGATGGTTAGTGATGCCGTCGATTTGGAAGGAAAGGAGCTAGTTCGATCTCCGCCCCAACTCCCACCTCAAATGCACATGGGAACGCCTTAGCATGCTATTTCCAAGATTGAGAGAATTGACTCAACTATCATTCTACCAAATTCATAAAGAAGATGAAATGCACAAGGAACAGCGGAAACAAGTCACGAAATGTTCGAAGACCATTGTTTATGTTTGATGCAAGTAAACGAATCGAATGCAGGAAGTGCTAGAATCTGATGACGGGTAGTGTGGAAAAAAGGTAATATGGCTTTAAACTGTTACATCTTCTGTTTGATACCACGCCAATTAGAGCCGTGTTCTGTTTCACTGTTTATTTTTTGAGTTTACGAATTTTTTTTGCATGAGAACTCATAAACTGCCTTATTTGTTGCTCTGTTCATTTATTGTGTACTCCTTATTGAGGCTTTTGCAAAATATTACTAAAACGTTTCCAAACACTGCAAAAAATACGTGTGGATATGAAAGTGTGTATTGATGAGAACACATTGAATAAGGTAAGACAACTGGTAGTTCTGCATTCAGGTTGGCGGACATCTTGAGGACACTGTGCTTGTGAAGGGAATTGTTATTGATAAAACGATGTCGCATCCTCAGATGCCAAAGGAGTTGAAAAACGTCAAGGCATGTCAATTTCTTAGAGATTCTTTTTCATTTTGATCTAGTATTTTTAACGAATTTACTTGTGTTCTTTGTTTAAACCAATGTGAGTTTTCAGGTCGCTATACTCACATGCCCGTTCGAACCTCCCAAGCCAAAAACTAAACATAAGCTTGACATTTCTTCAGCTGAAGATTTCAAAGCTCTGCGTCAGTATGAAAAGGAAACTTTTGAAACTATGATTAAGCAGGTAGGGAGAATTCCTTGGTATTATGGATAATAACTCTCTTCATCAGTTGCTTTTTAAGTTTCTAGAAGTCAAATTCCATTTTTCACGCATTTTTTCATCTCAAGTTCGTGTAAATTTCTTTTGGCACTTAGATGATGTCTTCACAGAGCACAATTGGCGCTCCACAGTTACCATTTTCACATTTCTCCTCTTTTAAGTGCTCTATAATTTTGTTCCCTACGCTTACGGAATATCGAGAACCTGAGTGGTTAGAGACGCTGCGCAACACATACATGTTCTCCATTGCGTCTTTACTCGAACCAGCTAAGGCATGCGTCCTTCGTGGCTCGATATATTGGTTCCAGACTTGTATATGAAGGCCAAATCCATTTTTCTCCACAGTCTGGCGACGAAATATGGTGAAGATACTGAGACATTCTGGCAGAGCTATCTCAGGATTCCTAGGAGAATCAGTTGGAGACCATTTAACGACGTCATGAAAAAGGCAAATTCCGCAAGTAACTGGGTGATGAATACAAAACTGAGGAACGAATGAAGGAATTGCAAGGATCCGCGCAGTATGTCATGATAGGTTATGTGAATAAAATAAAATAAATGGTGCCTTAATCATCTATTAGGGGACACCATCATTTCCTGTTCAACAAAGTTCTGCCTGTATATTGGTAAAATGTGTTGTGTGATTCATAGGGTCAGAATTGTATCGTAGGAGGAAGGAAAGCATCTTATTGGCAAAAGTCTATGGATTGTAATGTTGAATTAATTATATGAACTGAGATACACTTGTTTCAAGATGAGACGGGTAGTTATTTTCGAGCACACCTCCGTTGTAATCACTGAATGTCATTAATTTGTTACTGATTTACGGAATACAGGCAGTCCAGCCGGTGTTTTTAAATGAAGAACAATGGTGAATTTTGGTTAGTTGTGTATACGAATGTCCTGCTGTCTTGATAACATCTGCGAAACTATATTCCTTCGCTCTTAGGCCTGTTTCTCCTTTTATTACGTTATTTGTTAAGTACTCTTTATTCTATACTTATACCAGATATCGATGCCTGTTCAACAGCACTTAATACTTTTTTCAAGGTCAAAGATAGTGGTGCAACACTGGCCATTTGTCAATGGGGTTTTGATGATGAGGCGAACCATCTTCTACATCATCATCAGCTTCCCGCTGTTCGGTGGGTTGGAGGACCAGAAATTGAACTGCTAGCCATAGCAACCAATGGGCGCATCGTACCCAGGTATAGTTTCTGTGTTTTATTTTATAATATTTCTATTAATTTTTATAACTCTCATTGTATTAATTACCGTCTACGTAGATTCTCGGAGCTTGCTCCTGCTAAGCTTGGCTCAGCTGGTCTTGTTCGCGAAATCACATTTGGAACTGCTCGGGATCGTATGCTTTCCATTGAAGAATGTCCCAATAGCAAGGCTGTAACTGTATTCGTCCGAGGAGGGAATAAAATGGTTCTCTTCTTGAATGTTTCGTATTTTTTCCCCTAAATCTTAACAGTTACATGCAGATTATTGATGAGGCCAAGCGTTCTTTGCACGATGCATTGTGCGCTATTCGCAATTTGGTTCGAGATGACCGTATCGTTTATGGAGGAGGGTCCGCTGAAACGGCATGTGCTATTGAAGTTGCCAAAGAAGCTGACACGGTATGTAAAATAAAATGGCGTTCGACTACTAACAATTTAATCAGTTTTATTGTTCAAAATGAGTCATTGGTTAAAAACTGTACTGACTGGTAAGACTAACAGTATATCGTAAGGCTGATTTTTTGTTAATCTGGGCGTTGATTAGATAATTCAATGTATCCTTGATGAACAGACACGGCATTGTTACTTTACGCTTTATTCACATGAAAGCTGATGATTCGGCAGGTTACGCCTTCTTCACAGCCTACCCACTATTCTCATCCAAAAACAATCCTCGAAATAGTGAGCACGATGGTATTCTTTCGTCGCACACTTCCTCAACTGCACGAAAATCTTGTCCTATTTGCATCATACAGAGTGGCGTTGTAGTAGCATTTCGATGTCGAGTACTCGGTGGCTATCCTGTAGTAGTCCGCATACATCTTTTGATCGCTTTCGTTCAGTGAAGTTCAGAACGACTCGAAACTAACAATATAGTTATTAGTTAAATATTGAGTTTTGATTTCATGCCACAATATGTGGTCTATAATATATTTCTTGGTACATATATACACGCATATATATATATATATATGTACATGTACGCATGTATATATTTGTGTATATGTATGTTACTTGTTTATTTTCAACGTATTCGTCGTGACGTTTATTTCTCATTAACTACTATTACTGTAAACTAAGGACTGATTTTTGCTATTGCTATAAACTATGTATAGTTTGAATGTGTCGTTTTCTTGTTCAGCAATCGCGAGGTTTTTAAACAGCATACATTTACTTCCATAGAAAAACACAATACAATACAACGCTAGCTGACGTTTCTGCATTATCGCCTTCAGAGCCGCTTTTTCGTGACCTCCAATGAGGAAGTTTAGAACAACTGATGAAAAAGCGGCTCTGAAGAAGGCGATAATGCCGAAACGTCAGCTAGCGTTGTATTGTATTGTGTTTTTCTGTGGAAGTAAATGTATGCTGTTTAAAAACCTCGCGATTGCTGAACAAGAAAACGACACATTCATATTCCAATGCCGAGGTTAAGAGAAAGTCGATCGTGGGAACTATGTATAGTTTTTCAAGAACACATTGATTTTGACTGTTCAGAATTTGCATCATCATGAAGCAAAAAACGAAATTCTCCCATTTCTAAACCTTTTAGTGCACTAACTCCGATCATCACTGACGCATTCATGAAGTTTCGCTGCGCGAATGCGAATTTGCGAAGAAAAAAGTTTGAAAAAAGAGGCTCTCTACTTGTGGGAAGTTAGACTTTCTCTCCAGGTAGAGAAATTCTTATTTTGTTTGCAAAGATCTATGGATAGTAACGATTTTTGTTTCGCTTATTCAAATTCCATAGAACGAGGGATTGGGCTGTTTGAAATTTGAAGGGCAAATAGTCTTTACTCGAGTATAAACTGCGCGTTACTCACACAACTAAGTGGAATATAGGTGCTCTGAAATATCATACAAAAGTAGTGGTTCAGGATCATGTCGTGTTTACGGGTTCCAAATTGCAACATGGGTGTAGGCCTAGAAATAATGACTTATAAGCAAATGTGGAGAAAGTTAATTGCTATCTAGAAAAAAGTTTGTTTTTGCAAAAAAATTATTTCTAAGTTATCTGTAAGATTTCGATTACAACTAAGTAACGTGTTGGCGCCCATTTGTATGTGCCTAAAAACAATTACATCTTAAACAAAACACGCCTTAAATCGCGAGCAAACGCTTCAACACGTATAGCTCAGATCATAGTGAACCATATTGTTTGATATCGAAGCCAATGGAATCTACAAATCTTTGCCAACAGGGTGCACTTTTTCCTATTCTACATTAGTGTTCGGTTTTTTTTTCTGGAGACCATAGTATTCAAGTATTTTAAAGCATTTATTTTTCTCGGTTTTGTTTCTCGAGACTCGTATTTCAAGAAGAGAAGCAATTGAAAACGCGATATTTCATCCAGCAGTACGTGGTATGATGCATTATCGGTTGCCACCTTATGTTATATTTTTAAAATTTAGTTGCTGCTCTCAGTTTTCAAAAATTTGTCCTTTAGGCAAACCTAAAATAATGTTTTAGAAAGACTATTTATACTAGCAGATGGATACCGCAATTTATTTATATAGGTCCGTGAAGTTGGCCAATACCGGTTGAGCGGACGAAAATTGGACATCGTGGCAAATTTGTTAAGCAACTATCTTATTTTTTGAGACACACTGTTCTTGCGTCACTACATAGATGGAGATAGCCTCTTCCAAGATGCCTTGCAGATCCAAGCACTTGCATTCCTGTTGTGATCTTGCAACCACTCTCCATAGAGATACTCCCATTGCTGTGCGGATCGGGTTACGAGTTAACCATGTGTCGGCTTTTCTCACCAATATGTCGAGTCTTGGTTCGAGCATTGTTATTTTGAAATTCTGACATGTATTTTCTGTGTTAGAGCGTTTTCACGTCTTTCGATGTCGCAGTCTACCAATCATTTACCTGTTCTTGTGGATCGAGTGGAAATTTATTGTCTTCCGATTAGGATGCTTTCGAAGTGATCACATTTCCTGCGATCACTCAACGACCATTCAAGTACTAAGTCAGTGAATATTACGATGTTTTTAAATAATTTTTATGTTCTAGAAAAGTATTCAAATGCTTGTTGACTTGCTCAGCAACGCTAAAACTTATACCACGGCGGAGCCAAGCTAATCACCCGTACCTTTCGTTTTAAAAATGTAAAAGTAGGATTTCACATAGATTGAATGTTTTCTGCGTTCTTGAAGCAAGCGGAGTTCGATGAATGAGCCATGTTGTTTAAAGTTGGGAACTAAATTATGTTCAACAACATGTCGGTCGTATATGACCTACTGTTGTCCTAAATGTCTTCGCAATTGTAATTAACTACACACCATTTCAAAACAAGTTCTTCGATTTCCTTTTGTTTCCTTCGTCGATTTCCAATATTCCACCGATAGCGATTGTTCCAAAATTTGAATGATTATTGGCAATAAATAACAAACAGCACTATAACAAACACTATGCTAAGAGGTGTTCTGCAGTACACAGTGGGTTGGTCGATAGATCGATCCCGTGCCTCACGCTCACCAAGCTTTCCATCCTTCTGGAATATGCAGGTTGTCAGTACATTATCTGGGATTATAAAAACGCGGAGTTATTACATCGGTAGGGCACTGTAAGTCGTTGTATATACTATATATACGTTGTATATTTTATTGCCAATGATGAAATCAGATTTCAGATTGAAGGCGTCGAGCAATATGCATTCCGAGCATTTGCGGATGCCTTGGAAACCATACCAATGGCATTGGCTGAGAACAGTGGTCTAGCTGCTATTGATTCACTTACCGATCTAAAGGTTTGTAAACTAAATTTCTGTATTGCAACATGCAATGTACGAAACCGTCTTTTGGGACATTTGCATACTTCAGGCAAAGCAAATCGAAACTGGTAAACCTTATCTTGGGATTGATGCCATGTTTAACGGTACCAACGACATGAAGGAGCAAAAAGTCATTGAGACTCTCGTATCGAAGAGAGAACAAATCTCTTTGGCTACTCAGGTAAAACAGTTTGATTTGATTTGAGAAAAGTAAATTTTCGCTGCGAATCTTTGTTTGCCACACGGGACGTTAATTGCTAAGATATATCTGTAATTATTAACACATTCCGTAAGCATTTGACGTATAATAATCGATTTTCTTTCAAGGTCGTTCGTATGATCTTAAAAATCGATGATGTAAGAGTTCCAGACGACGAACAACAGAGTCACTAAATACTACTTGGCTGTGGTTTAGAGTCATGTAGAATTATTGTTATGGACTTTTTGACTTCTACTCCGTAATGAACTGTTGTTGGCTTTGTAGTTCCGAAGTATGTTCATTCTTCCTCATGGCATTCTAAGAATCCTTAAGAAGTTTTCATCTCTTACTTCCTATCCTTGTTAGTGTTTATACGCTGTCTGCCAGAAACACCCCCGTCGATGTGGTACAATGCTGACCTCCATTGAACGGTTGTACTACTGGGGATAAATTTTGTTTGCAGACCATTGTTTAATTGTCTCTGCATATTTTAACTTGTTTGCTTTTTTCTCTCCTTTGTTTGCATAAAGATGATTTATATTTGGTGTTAGTATTTAATGTTATATCACGGTTTTCCTCGGTGTGCATTGCCTTTCATAATCTTTAAAACCATGTTTTACACAAGGTTAATCTTACTTAGTAATTCTGTCTACAAATACTTCCTTTCTGTTTCCAGGAAAAGTTAAATATGATGGTACCCTAAATTCATGGTGCTTGTCTTTTATGCGCAAGCATGTCATCTGTAGTTACATCCAGCGGTCATGCTACTGCGACTTCGTCGCTAGCTAAGGAAAAGGTGGGTAATTTTCAGAATTGTCCAACTTTTACGACCGACTTTCTATTAACCTCGGCATTGATCAAGTGATTTTCTTCGTATTTTTGTTGAGCAAACGCGAGGTGTTACTATTCTTTGTTCACGATTAAGCTGACGTTTCGGCGGATTTCGCCTTCTTCAGAGCCGCTTTCTATGAGGCTTCCACTGAGTAGATACTTAGTAGCACCTCGCGTTTGCTCAACAAAAATACGAAGAAAATCACTTGTCCAACTTTTATCCTGAATTCGTTACACTTTTTCTCCCTTTAAAGCAAACGCGTTTGTATCTAACACTGTCATATGCCAGTTATTCAGTCATTTGTACTTGTTGTCCCAGTTTGTTTCACTCTTTTTTGTAACATATTTGTTGCTACACTGTCAGCTTTTGACTTAGTAAGTTGTTCAACCCAGCATAGGCACGAATATCCACAGCTCACTCCTCATTGATCTGGTTTTTTTTTATGTATATACTTTACTGGATATCGGGATCGCCCTCCTTAGCAGATATCCCTGTTTCCAGCACAAACTTCGATTTGGTTGGTTCTTTCCTTGACTGAGAGTATTTCCCTATAGTTCTGAAATAGCCTTGAGAAGACTCCTAGATTGTCATCGTAGGCAGCCAATGAGTGAAAAAGGGATTTTTTGAGGGAGTTGCTATCATATGTTCGCCTTGTGCCCTGCTTTCATTCACTGGATGTGGGGCGTAGTGGAGATTTCGACAGTCAGAGGTTATAACACGCCTTAAAAGCGAACACTGTTATTGATAATAAATATAATTTGTTACTACAGTTTTTTTCCAACAAGAAACAAACAAATTTGTTTGTTTGTATGACTGAGAATTCAAAAGATCTAGAGACAACCGTTCGTGCGAGGGCACTTTTTGCAACGAGTTAGTTACTGAAGGTTTTAGTACCTAGAAGCTGCCGATATGCTTACAGGAAGTAATGGTTGATTAGGAAGAAATTCGATGAGTGTATTGGTTAGTGGAAAGTCTCGTAGCTTACCCTGTTGAATTTCTGCACCGTTACTTGTGCAAGAAGGGCGAACTTTTTCTTCTGATTAATTTTGGGTACACTGCAACTTTTATAGGTTTTATAAGTGGTAAAATCTTTAATAACAAGCTCTGTGCAGATATGTATATATATACGTATATACGTATTGTACATGTGCATGTGTATATATACACATACACATCCATGTGTATATGTACGGATATATGTATATGTTACATACATATATATGTATTTCATACGGCTCGTCTTAACATCTATTGTGTAGATCCCATCCAAACTCTTCTCGCAATTAATTCGTTCCTTCGCATGTCATCGCGTTCCAATTTTTTTGTGATTTTCTAGAATTACCTATAGTGATTTTGGCGATATGGGATAGCCTTGTAGAAGAAGCTCCTTTCTTTATGCAGGCGACAGTTTCATTGTGTAATAATGAGACTCTTGGTAAAGATATTGTATTGCTCACTACCCTTTATGTGTTTGCAGCAAAGCCATGGTAGTCGAAGGGTTTTTGTGTCGTTCAAAATATGCCACAGTAGTTGTCTACTTTCAAGATGAGTTCCAGTGAGTCCCATTATTGATGGATGTAAATCCGCAGTATCAGATCCTAGAAGCCGTATTTATTAGGATGACCTTATTGAGTCGCCGAGGAGCTTTAAATTCGGGCGGGTAACGTGTGAAAAAGCAAGTCTTTGTATTGATAGGAACTGGAGGTAGTTTCTTCATGTGTTCGGGTTTAATCCCATCGAGACCGGTAGCTGTACGGTTCTTCACCAACAGTTGAGATTTTGTCAGTAATTGTTGGAAGACCGCTACGGTCGTGATTATTTTAGGAGTTGTATAGGTGATCATTTGTGGTCGTCAGCAGCGAGTCAATTTTATTCATTTTGTACACACCCAGACTCTGTTTGAAGTACTTTTGAAATTGTTTTCTTCCTTCTTCATATATTTGCTTTTCCAACTTTTGAAATGTGTCTTATTTTAGAAAGTGCAGATCCTTGCAAGTGATGTATCGCCAAGTACTGATCTCCTGGAGACTCCCAACCCTCAACGTCTACTTGGTTTAGGAGGCACTACTCCGCTTGCTGGTGAGAAATTTTCGTATTTCGAAATTTTTCATCTATTTTTTATTTTTTGCACTTGTGCTTCATTCCGTAGATGTTCTGTTGAGTTTATTTCCTCCTTGAAGTTAATTTAGTAATTCAACCTGATTAGTGAAAACGCTAGCACTGTTAATACTGATTACGGCGTAATTTAAAAAGAGGTTGTTATGATATATAAGCTGATACTATCGGGATTTTACCTTTTTTCTCTCGGTGCTAGAAAACACGGGAAGGAAGAAGAAACGTTCGATGAAAAATTAGTGCTAGTTACAGGAATTGGCATACCAACGGTTTACCTTTTCCTTGTGGCTGGAATGTTGTACTGGGTGTCAGGGTGTCTTGTCCAGCGGTGGTTCATCCACCAATATAGCATCCCAAGCTGAGGAGTCCGACGTCTCCATCCGGAAGCCCAGCCAGTAGTAAACCAATTCCAATGCCATGAATCAGCACCATCATGTTATCAAACAGTTCGCATGGCTGCAAATCTCCCTCTTATCAATAGGGGCGGCGACTGCCTGGAGTGGTGAAGAACTGAGGAGAGCTTTGCATTAGGCTGACCTCAGGACTCCAGGGAATCACGTTGACTTAACCAGCAAATCCTTAGAGAATGGGAATTATGCTGGGGCTCTCCAAAACTACTGAAGACGGGCCATTCAAGTGTCTTAGCGTCCTTGAACAAAACGGGGTCTTGCTCCTCTTCCGTTCAGTAGGGACCTTGAATGACAGGTAACGTGTGAAGAGCCGAGCCAGTGTATTTGCGAGGACTGGAGGAATGTTCTGCAGGTGTCCAGATCCTGTTCAGGTTTGGTGCTGTTCGATTTTTCACCGGCGAAATAGCATGTCGGATTTCGGAAGGGAGGACGAGTGGTACTACATATCCATCCTCTTGTTTCTCGAAGAGATCTGGGTAATATTCGTGAATGATTTCCTCCGTTGCCTTTCTGGACCCTGTAACTGTTCCGCCTGGACGACGGAGAGAGATTATCCAGGCCTTGTAATTGGTGAAGCTTCGGTGGGCTTTGCGAATGCTTTTCCCAGCCTCTGCAGCTTCGACCATTACTGCTGCTCTTCTCTCTTTAAGATCTTCTTTTATTGCCTGTCTGCATCGTCTTGCAAGTTCGGACGTTAGTTCGCGGTTGCCTGTACCTCATCCGATTCCACGTTGGCGTATCAGCTCGAATGTTTCTATAGACAGACCTTTCTTGGTAACTTTCGAACTTTCAGATTTCATAGCGCTAATGTGAAGATGTTGAATGAGCCGATCGTACTCTTTGTCGATGTTATCGACAGCGGCATCTTCCCAACATCAGACTAATGAATTGAATAAGTCCCAGTTTACAATGTCCCAGTTCTGGGACTTCGGTTTTGGAATTTGGCGGCTTTTTCTCCTTTCCGCGAGAAATAGAATCTTGCACGAAGGAGACGATGGTCTGATCCCATGTAGAATTTTGGTACAACAGCGACATCGGTTAGGCAAAATCTTGTATTTACTATCATGTGGTCTATTTCGTTATGGTATTCTCCATTGGAAGATTCCCACGTCCAGCGTTCAGGGTGGACCGACTTCTAGAATTGAAAGTTACCATGGATGGTCTTGATCGTCATGATAAACTCAGAAAGCCGCTCACCATGTTTGTTCCATTCTAGCCTGTGGGTCCCAATCTGACGTTCTTGGTCTAATTTTGACATTAAAGTCTTCAATGATAACCTTGAAGAATGTATGGTCTTCTCTGTAAAACTTCTCCAAGTTCGTATAGAACGCTTCGACTCCTTCTTCGTCGTAGTTTGATGTCGGCGCGTAAACGACGGAGATTGTCAAAGCCGGTATTGATCCACATCTTTTTTACGGTAAACGTCTGATTCGGATTGTTAAATGTTCGGATGAATCGATGTTCGTGGACAAACGCGTGTTGACGAGAACGCCGACGCCGCCGACTCCTCTACCGTTGCATACTCCGAGGAACAGTTCTTCCCAGGTGTCATAGACGGTGTTGAATGGGTGGCGTAGTCTCGTCTCGGCCAGGCCAATGATGTCATACCTTATTCTTCTTGTCTGCATAGTCAAGTCTTCAATTGAGGACTCAGTTGAAAGTGTACATACATTGTAGGTACGGATCGTCACCTTAGTCCTTCGAGATTTGTGCACCATGAAATCGCCGAGCCGAGATTTTAGCAGTCTCTTCGTGCTCGTCCTTTCTAGCGCTGCCTAATAGGTAGTTCTTTCGGAGACAGGGGAATGAGACTCGTTTATTTTACTGTGTTTAGTTTTTTGATACATAGAAGTAATATAATAGTAGAATGGGTGCGTGTAGCGCAGTAGTTGGAGGCGCCACTGCGACAGGCACGTGTAATCGACCCTCCGCCCATGGTGCACCAAGCCTTGCATCCCTCCAGGGTCAGCAAATTGGTAGTTGGTACCAGACGTGTGGGAGCATAGCAGCACTGGCTCGATGCATCGGTATCACCTGTATGACCTGCAGTCTCGTTGATCGTCTAGTGACTCGAGCCGAAGCCAGTAAATCTTCCATTTTTCCCCGTCGCGTGCAAGAGTATACCAGTGGGTTCTGCTCGCTCTAGGAATTCGTCGAGCATCATATCTTTCTTCTAGGCTCTTCGTGAAGAGCTCTGACCATCGGGTCGGTAGTCTTCCTGCAGTACGTTTGACATCGCGAGGAATCCAGTCACTAACGGCTCTTGTCCATCGGTTGTCATTCATACACATTACGTGTTCCGCCCACCTTATCTTTAACTGTTTGGCGTACGGAACGGCATCTTTGATTTTTGATCGTTGACGCAGATCGGAGCTTGGGATCCCATCCCTTACTTGTGTGAAACGCTATACTCCTAGCATCATCCTTTCGACTGCGCGTTGGATAACGCTGAGTGATCTTTCATCCTGCTTACGCATCGACCAGGTTTCTGACGCATACGTTAGGGCAGGAAGTACCGTTGAGTCGAAAAGGTGGGCACGAAGTCGGGTGCTCTTTGTCCTCTTCACTACATCCTCGATGCTCTTGAAAGCTCCCCAAGCCACTCGCTTCCTTTGGCTCAGCTCTAGAGCTAAGTCGTTCATCATATTGATTTGCCGACTTAGGTAGACATAACTGGAGCATTCGGAGATACTCGTTCCGTCGAGCGTAAATGGGGCATACGAAATAAAACCGTTCTTCATGAACAGCGTGTTTGTTAGATTTAGTCGAAGACCAATCTTTCCACAGGCTTTATCAAAGTCGGCAAGCATACGTTCCGCTTGACTAATGTTTGCTGTTGTAAGGACGGCGTCATCATCAAAGCGAAGATGATGTAACTGCCGAGCATCGATTTTCACTCCCATATTATTTCATTCCAATGTTCGCATGACGTTCTGGAGGGTGGCGGTAAATAATTTTGGTGAGATGGTATCGCCTTGCCAACTCATCAATGTTAATATCGTCGTAGAATGGTGATATCTTGGTTGTGAGATTTTTGTACAGCTCACGTAGAATATGTCCTGAGTAGGGACTCCTTAGCTATAGTGGGCCTACATGATTGCTTCTATCTCAGTTGAATCAAAGGCCTTCTTTAAATTAATGAAAGTGAGACAGAGCGGTCTTTCATACTCTTGCGATACTTCAGTGAGCGTTGTTATCGTGTGGGTGTGGTCCACCGCAGTAAATCATTTTGGAAACCTTGCTTGCTCACATGGCTGTCCTTCGTCCTGTTCTATCAATCCTGTTTAAGATGACTTGAGTGAAAAGTTTGTAGACGACAGACATCAAGCAGATTGGGCGATAGTTGCCGATATCGTGAAGGTCACCATTCTTGAGCATTAGCACGGTCTTGCTGGTCTTCCTCTCAGTATGGACCTTACATTCAGAGAGGTAACTTGTGGAGAGCCGAGCCGGCGTGTTTACGAGGACTGGCGGAATGTTCTTCAGGTTTTCTGCTCTTATCTTTTCCGGACCTGCTGCTCTTCGTTATTTCACCGACGAAATGGCATGTCGGATTTCGGAAGGGGGAACCGGTGGTGTGAAATATCCATCCTCCTTTATTTCATATGATGGAACGTTGACGTGGCTATCGAAGAGATCTGAGTAGTATTCGTGAGTGATTTTCTCCATTGCCGTGTGGTGTAGCGCAGTGGTCGGAAGCGCCCTGCAGTACACATGGGATAGATCCCTACGCCCCAGCCCTACCAAGCTCTCGATCCCTTCGGGGTCGGCAAATTGGTAATAAACTTGTCTGGAATGATTGCAGCTCTGGCGCGATACATTAGGCCACTGCGAGTTATTGTAAAGGCCTGATATGCGTTCAGCCACCTCCAACGATGCTTAATGAAGTCGGATCCATGGCGCATCCATCAGTGGTTGATCAACGCCGAGAGCTTTATCTTTATTTACTATTTTAATATTATGGTAGTCATCCCAAAGGTTTACCGCCTTATCGTGGCTGGGAGTTGTTTCTGCGTCGGGAGCTGTTATGTACAGCGGGGAGTTCATCCTCCTGGCAGGGTTTCCTAAACTAGGAAGGAGAGCGGTGTTTCCATCAGGAAGCCTAGTTAAAGGTAAACCAATGCCAGGATCCACCAGCATCCTGGTATCAAACTAGTCGCATGGTGGCGAACCTTCATTTGATCCACATGGGCTGCGACCGCCTGTGGTGGTGGCAACCTGGAGCAGACTTTAGCCAGGCCACTGTGGACTTCAGGGAACCACAATGGCTGAACCAGTAGATCTCCGGAGAATGCAAATTGTTCTGGGGCCCGCACAACCATTGAGGAAGTGCCATCCAATTGTGCGAGTAATGTAGTAGTAGTATAATATTAATGAATAGTAACTCATATACCTCTATTAGGACAAAATCCATTCTGTACGTTTTTTAGCTCTCAACTCTTCAAGTACTTCAGTTAGCCAAAAGCTGTTTCTGGTTATGTTTGAAAAACCGCATAGTGCACTATGTGATGAAAACATGTATTAGAAATGGGCGAGCGAGTTTTAGCAAATCCGCAACTGAACAATTTCGGCAGTCGAAATTTTTACAAAATGTTTTCTAATAGGTCATCTGGAGAAGGTCGTGTATATAACCTTACATAAAGCATCTTGTTCCAGATTTCCCTTTGACGGCTGAGCTAATGCAGAAATGTATGACGGTAAACCCTTTTGAAGCAAAATTCAGGGAGGCTAATAGAAAGCTAACAACAGGAACGTTGGAGGCAAACGGTCTTGTCCCTGCAACAATATCGTTGTCCAACACAAATGGCATGTTTTCAAATTCGATTTCTGTTTCTCTTACTTTTCAATCACTAATGCCAGTACCTGTTTCTTTCAAATTTTAATCGCTCAAGATTTAGCATTTTCCTTACTGAAATTACCCTCATCGCTTTCGGATTCACCGGGAATCTTCTCGAACATCAGTATCCTGCAAACGGACGCAGACGGCATGGTGAATGAGAATTTAAAGACTGCTGACATATCTAAGTTGTTGCTCCAGGTTCGTAAAATGCGTAGTGATTTTATAAACATTCTATGGAACGTATTTAGATGAAAGACACAAATTCGTCAAGCATGGATGGTTCGAGCACACAACAAGCGCCAAGAACCGCTGATGTGTTAAATGCAGTGTTGGATATGCACTCTGATCGCCTCCATACAATTAACTATATTAATAAGTGCGTTTTTGGAAGAAATTCAGTGCTTTCAAAATTTTCAGCCGCTTAGTTTTTGGGTATGGTGCTCTTCCAGCTTTTATTCTTCATTCTTCTATGTTATTATAATTTTTTGCATGTTTATAATACTAGGATTTCTTTAATACGTAGTGGACGGTATAATTAAAATTACAAATTTTTACAATACAAAAATTACAATAAAATTGCTGTGTGACAGCAATAATATTTCGTCTTTCCTTATCGTAAGGACATTAAATCTTAATTTTTTGACTCCATCGTTTTTTCTTTTGCACTTTTTTACTCGAGGCGCGCATTTTGAGCAGCAATGCGATTGAACAAATGGAATTTTGTCCAGCAGGCACGATAATATACCTAAGGATGTTAATAGTCACTGCTGCCGTCCTAGCGTTTAAAACTACTTGAAATTCATCCTCGCTTTTGTGTAAATTTGATTTTTGAAAAAGTTGAGATTTATGTTAATGTTTTGGGAACTATATATATAGCCACGGAGCGATAAGGTGGAGTTTGTCCCATAATGCTGTCAAATCGTGAGTTCTTAGATGCTTCTATTTATCAACACAATCTCAGCGGTTGCCCAAAAAGCAGTATCGTCCACAATATGTTAGAATAGGTAGCGGAAGTTATTTCGCTCGTATGCCAGTCGAGTAATATTGAGTGAACAAGCATATTATGTCGTGTTGACAGTTTTATGTGATTAGTATTAGCTCTTGAATGAAATAAACTCTTTTATCACACGACATACATATATATTTAGACCCGATTTCTCGATGTTCTCGTCGCTGACACCTTCTGGTTCCGCCCCAAATTCTGCTGGAGTTCTTGCAGCAGCAGGTGTTGCCCAATGTACTCCTTCTACAAGTGGAGGATTATTAGTTCATCCCTCTCGCAGTGTTAATATTAGTCCCACTCATTCTCCTAGAAATAAAGATCAACTGACTATAGAGTAAGTCACTATGTATCGTTGAAAATTTGTATTGTGTGTACACTTCATATACAGTTCTGTATTCATTTGCAGACTTTCATCTTTTAAATTTCGTGCAAACTTTTTGCTTTCAGAAAACGTTCGTCTGCCAATTCAGAGGTTGTTAACCTGGTAACTACAGAAAGCCATCTGTTATCAGCATTGCATTCAGCCGCTACGGTCGTAGTCGCTGCCAGCAGTGCCGACCCAGCAAACTGGGATCCTCGTGATGTAAAGCCTGCTGTTAGCAAACATGTTCGTTTTTTTTTTAAACTTTGGCATTTGTAGTTTATAGCTGTGTTTTGTTTTATCTGTCCTTGTCTTCTTTATGTTGTGTGTAGCCACATCCGTTGTTTTTCCTTTTTTCCCTGCGGCTTTCCACATTTTATTCAGTAAACAAGCCTAAAGAATGATTTAAGTAAAGACGGTTTCATTGGTACTTCAAGTGCCGTCTTTGATGTAAAATTTGATAGGAAGTCATAGCACTCATGCATTTTGATCTAGAGCACGCCTGGTTATTTCGAACAAGAAGACTCTGTAATGCCTTCAACAAACTGTGGTGGTTTGTCTCAAACAGCCGCAGCCCCCAGCTCTTCTCATCTACTTTCACTAGATGATCGTACTCCAGTGAAAGGAAGGTTTGTTTAGCAATTTGCCTCTGTTTACGTCAAGTGGCACTAAGATTCTATGATATGCAAGCAATAGCAGTGGTGCATGATCTTTTTCTAGTATTGATCCTCCGTCTTCTGGAAGAGGACGCGGTCGAGGCAGGGCTTCGTTTACTTCTGATATGCTCCCTGATGAAAGAAAGTGTGTTACTATTGTTATTTTGGTATTAAGTACGTAATTATCTCTTAAATTGCTTGACTCTTTTCAAAACTTCTCTACTTACTTAGTTCTAACTGTAGGATGACAATACTGGAAAGAAATAAGGCAGCGGCCGTTCGCTACCGAAAGCGAAAGAAGGAAGAGCACGACGACATGATCTCTCGCGTGCATACATTAGAGCAGGAGAAGGTGCAGTTAAATGTGAGTAGAAATTTGATGTAAAGGAATCTATCTAGCCTATATGTTCTAAATTAGCAGGGGTTAACCACCAGTTATTTTTCTGAAACTTTCCAAGTTATACGAATAACGGTTTCTGGAGACAATTTTTTTGTATCTCCTAGATGTGTATATGTTTTAGACGCAAAACCAAGTGCTTCGCCGAGAGCTCGAGCGAATGACGGCGCTGCTACGAGAACGGGAGGCACGATGCGTATGTCTCAAAGCAATGCCCCACAGCTCCGAGCTGCGAGCCGAATCGCCTGCGGATGTGAGCCTTCCTAGAGCTCTATTTTCTTTTTAATTCTGTCAAGTTTTTGAGCTCTCGTGCGTTAATTATTGCTAGTTGCATAAAATATAAAATGTTTTAAAGTTAGAGGGAATTAGGTCAACTGAACGATTTTTCTATAATGTTTTTGCCATATTTCCTTGGTTTTTCATGCTGTATAAAATGGTTATTACGATTATTTAGCGAAAATCATTTAGTGAAGAAGGATATTATGACACAGAATGCGTACTGTAGGAGGTGAACATAGTACGTGTGTTACAATTCAAGGTTCGGAAATAATTCGCATAAAGTTACCTCTTTTACTGTATGTTTTTCAAGCTTAGATCTAAAATATCCATGGAATGTTTCGATCACGAAGTTTTGAAGGTTTCATGCTCACCAAATATTCTTTGGTGTTTATTCTGTTTAATGCGTTATATGGTTCTACTGTGCTTCTTTACATTGTATGTTCGAGAATTTCTTTGTTGGTATTCAGAGACTATTCAGGTCGATCTCTTATCGGGATCACAACATACCAACATGTATATACCACAAACGCAGCAGCTTATCAATGGCTTAGGTTTGCCCAATGGAATGGGTTTGAAACGGCCGAAAATTTAAGAGATATTTTCGCAAACTTTGAAGAAATTTCTATCCAAATTGAATCTATTATTTACTGCTTAGAGCTGTTTAGTCTATCAATCATGATAGTGTGATGCAGAATCGTGTAGATGTTTTACATTTTCGAATCTTTGGTGTACTGATCTTATTACCACCTCAGTTCTTGTCTTGTTTTTCTACTGTAGTGTCTTAGTGTCACACTCATCGTCGTCTGTTATGTTTCTGAATGTTCTGCTTTCTCGAGCTGGTCTCATTATGAAATTTCAATTAGTCGTTCCTAGAGCAATCACGGCTTTGTTTTTGTCTGTGTACTATTATTTAAATTCTGCCAATGTTTGTGGATTTCATCCATAAGTTTGTGTGTCTGATGCATATCTATGGTGCAGAAATTATCAATTGTGCACGTATCGGTCACTTGCTATTCACAGCTTTTAAACTTGTTTTAAGCACGCTATCGCTCCAGCAGGTTCTCGTTTTTATGTTGTCTTATGCACACCTAGAATGTTCTTTTTCTTTCTATTTTCAAGCTGCTGTTCATTGGTAGCGCTGGAATGTTTCGAGACTCATTCACACTTCATCAACTTAACTACGGAGGAAATGCGAAATAAAACAGAAACACTATTATAGCACTAAAGGAAACTTGAGATATAAGGTTGTTAAATTTGAGCTATCTTTCTATCCTATTTGGTTGTGCAGCGACATGCGGTCTAGGAATGCTTGCTTTAGCTTTGGCTTCATCGTAACGCTTCGTTCATCATGTGATGAACGTTCCTTCGTGTACACAGCATAGTATTCTGTGGTAGACGCAGTATTACGCTTCTTTTGCTTCCTATAACAACAGTTGTTTTATCTACAACTTTAGTTGTTTTACAGTCTGTTACTTGTCCACTACATTGTTTCAGGTGTCCTGAATGTTTACAAAACATACTGGGTGGAAATTTATTCCGTGACACCGGTCCGTTTGTACATGAGTATATCATTCGAATAAAATTTAACTATGATCATCCTCGGCAGGAAGGCATAAACACTACCTTGCTTAAATTTGCACATCATTTTATTTTTTTTTCACCATCATTCATTTTATTACCGACGTCCACTGCTTTCCTCAGATGCCACTCATAGAGGGATCTCGAGCCCGTTAGTCACGAAGCAATGTGGCACGTCCCCAACTAGTGGGCAGGGGGTTGATCGCGGGCCGAAAGCAGTTTTTGCTTCCTCGAGACGTAGGCTGATACGGAGGATGAAGTTCCTGTTTCTATTACGCTGATTTGGCACATGCCTGCTGGACTTACGGTGACGTATCCATACATCCGTGTGTGGGTGTGTCCTCGTTTATGCGGATTACATTCGAGTTAATTCGGGCAAGAGCGTGCAATCAAGTGAACTGGGAAGTATATGGGAGGCGCTTAGGACTCACCTCCAACAAACGAGCTCCCCGTCTGCTCTAAGAGAGACCAAAAAGCTACAGGTGAGTATAGCCAGGCATCACCTTAAAAACTCGGTAAGGTGTTCGCGGGTATTAGAGGCAAACACATTTAGATAAAATGTGCGCTCACATATATCCGAATCCTGCAAAGAGGATCTGATTGTGCAGGTAAGAAGGATAAGGTGCGACGTCATCGAATTAACTGAGACGAGAAGATGCCACCCATTTAGTGCCATTTGTAATACTGGAAAGGAACTATTCCTCGGAGCACGTGACAGTAGAAGAAGTCGGCGACGTCGGGATTCTCGTCAACAGGGGTTTAGCCATGAACGTTCGTTCGAACAATTAACAACCAAAGTCGGACCTTGAGAAACGTCGTCTACGTGAGGATATCAAGCCTATGATTAAGACGATGTCGAAGTGTTCTATATGGACTTTGAGAGTGGAGTTTTGGGGAAAAAGGATGCAATCTTTAAGTCGTATATAATGCTGAGATATTTGCAAAACTCCGGACCGCAGGTGTATGCGATGGGGAAAGAACGCGCTATTGTTCTTTCAGGGGAGTAGCGCACTTCACCACCAGACCATGCGGGTCCTTCGTTTCGCCTATCTCTCAGATAGTTCTATCGTTCTTTTGCCATCAGCAATCACCCATCATCGGGATTTATCTGTGGAGCCCAAATCGGCATTGAACCCAGTTAAGCTGAGGCTTAGTTATAATCACAATCTTAACCCTTTTATTCACTGCCTTTTTCTTTTTAATGGCAGGGTATGTTGCGAAATATAGGGTTAAGGGGGTGATTGCTGTGGCAAAAAGATCGATAGAAATAGCTGAGAGACGTGCGAAACAAAGGACCCGCATGGTGTGGTGGTGAACGCGTTACTCCCCGGAAAGGACAATAGCGCGTTCGTTCCCCACCATAGACACCTGCGGTCCAGAGTTTTGCAAATATCTCAGCAACGTTGTGGTTGTATTTCGCTTACTTAGTAACCTGCCATGAAAATTATAGAAGGCAGAAAACAAAACGTTAAACATTGTGATTTCAACTACAGCCATAGCTTAACTGGGTTCTATGCCGATTTGCGCTCCCCAGATCAACCCCGCTGACGGGTGATTGCTGTGGCAAAAAGATCGATAGAAATAGCTGAGAGACGTGCGAAACAAATGACCCGCATGGTGTGGTGGTGAACGCGTTACTCCCCGGAAAGGACAACAGCGCTTTCGTTCCCCACCGCAGGCACCTGTGGTCCGGAGTTTTGCAAATATCTCAGCAATTTTGTGGTTTTATTTCTCTTAATATCCTGCCATGAAAATTATTGAAGGCAGAAAATAAAAAGTAAGCACAGAATTTAGATTTATTCCATAATAATTTTACACTTCTTGCATTTAAACTACATTTGGCATAACTACGTTGACTAAATGATCAAAACGATCTAAAAAATTGCTCTGATATTGTTACGAATAGTACAAACCTGCCAAGCACATGTTATAGCAAACCTGGAAGCACCATGTCTTGTAATTTAACAATCAGCCCAACAACACACTTCCCAGGTGTTAACCCTTGCTTGTCGTGCAAGAACAGATGTGCACATCTAAACTGTTGGTAAAACTAGATATGCCAAAAGGAAGAAGTACTGAAACACTGACACTACTAACTAGCTTTCCTAAGATACGTTTACGTCTTCTCGCATAGAATTCTTCCGTTTCGAATAAGTAATCGTCCCTTTTTTTCGCATAAATAAACCACAAACAATTTGTAGAAAACACAGGTTCTATGCATGTAAACAGTTTGCTCTCAGGTTAATACCTAATTGGTTGTTACGAAAGAGGTAGTTTTATTGTCCTCAATTCTTGTTAGGAAGTACCATAGAGAACAAGTAAAATAAATTATGCAGAAGAGATGTTACATTGATACAAATGAAGGACGATATCCACCTTAAGAAGGTGACGTGCCAGAATGTCCATGATATACTGCTGGAGTTCCAAAGCCAAGTGCACACGGTGACATCGGAGTTTGTCATCTATTTGAGCAGGTGGAAAGCAGACGAGGCATGGGAAATGGCTCTGGGACCGCTGAATAAAAATAAAGGGCGAAGCACAGCTAAAATGGTGCGTATATCCAGTCACAAAGTTTATGAACTTTTCAGCATGTGTTGAACAACGCTTACCTATAATCACTCGGTGGTAGTGGAGGAGTCCTAGAGTCTCAAAGTGGCGGTATGTTAACCGCAGAAGCAATACTAAGTGCCTCATAGCTATCAGTATAGCTATATTTGCTCTCATTTTTGCGCTTCTAAGGCAATAATTTAGCAGAATCTCCTAAATAATAATTAGAAAAATTCAGTATCACCTATACCACCTTCAAATGTCAGGAATCTTTTTCAGTAGAGAAACGAATGACCAAAAGAAACCCTTCACACATTCACAATGATTTGCACAGATTAAAATACATGAGTAGAAAATAAACTAGTCTTTTAAATTTGAAGCAGCGATAAACGAGGGGAAGCCCATTAGAATAGTTCTCGATAATCATGTAGAGCAAACAACTTCATCAACGACCGTTTGAGTTGATTGGATGCATATCTACTATCGTTTGTCGTCGAAGAACCAATTTCTTCGCAGAACACAAGAATTGGATTGTGTACAAAAATAAAACTCGGACTAGAAAAAAGCATGAAAATACTTAGGCGGCCATCGGATCATGATTTTATCAAGAAAAATTCTCTAGTTTCGAGACTCGTAACAGCTCTCGTCAAGTCTTGCTTGGTTCAGTAGTAGAGCAGTGAATGTAGTTTGGATCCCTGCCCTTGAAGTTTTCCCATGAGGAGCTTTTGTTGCGCGGTCGCATTCTTTGTACTCCAAATTTTGGCAATTAAACCCTTGTTTACATAATGCCGAAGTTAGTGCAGCGGCAATAATGTCGCAGAATTAATATTGTACAGCTATGTAAGGCTACAAACAAAATGATACTTATTCACTGAGTATATGAAGTAATGTGATAAGCAAATAGACGATGCAATATAATTGCTACTTAATTAAAGGAATAGATCGTTATGTAATAGAAGACATCTTTACTTAATAGGTAGGATGGGTTAATACAGTTACTATTCAGCCAAGACGACACAACAACTCTTTCTATGGAGAAAGGAAGCAATATAAAGTTGCACTAATAATATTTTAACGACTTACTTACACAAGAGGTTCAAGCACTGTGGAACGTGACAAAGACGTAAAAATGGATTGGTGTGGGAAGCTCTCCTTTTATAGTGGCTGAGAATGGGCGGAGATGAGCTAGGGTAACAATTTTTCCGACTTAAGCATTTTTGCTAATGCCACCGGGGCCACCCATTGAAAGGGGTGGAGTTGGCTTATCCAATTCTGGTTATACCACTGGGCCGCTATGTGATATAGACATAGAGCCGCCAGAACACGCCCTCTGTCACGTTAGCAGAAAGAGTTTCTTTACTAAATGCGCAAAATTAAAGAAAGTATTTCTTCGATAGCTAGAACATCTTCTATTTGATAGAGAAATTCTCTATACGTAACATGATTCGTGCACTGCGCTCAAAAGCG